GTAGCTGCTGAACGAACGCGTGCCACAAATGTTTACATGATTATCCGGTGATTTTACGACTTTTCGTTCAACGAAATGTAACAATGATAGAGCTTTCTGTCTTTAACCATAATAATATTTATTATGTATAAAATATAATTCAAAATCGCCTGTTCAAACTAACTCTCGTGACTAATTCTCTGAAACTATTCTCAACGACTCGCCAATACTGTGAAATGTTTCGATACTCGCCAATACCACAGGAATTACACTGTTAGCAGCTCATGGGATTCGTATTAATTTATGCTTTCTCATTACGTATAAAGAATATAGCATTCCAATGAAAAGAAATAACCTGTCGATATCTCATCAACGGCTTGCCCCTCAAAGAAGATATTTCCACTGCATTATGTCTCTTCGTATCAAACAATTTTTCTTTCAACATTCTTTTTCTACCTTTCGTCGTTTCCGAGATGTTCCATCGAGATAAAACAAGCACCTAGAATACAGGCTGGGTCACTTGAAACTTTCTACCTGGATACTTCGCTCGTTTTCAACAATAAAAAAAAAAAGAGAAATATCAGTCAAAAGTTGTTTGGTTCCAAGGGGAAAATAGATTGGTGGATAATAATTTTGTTACGAGTAACTATATATTCAAATATTTGACGTGTATAAATATCTGCAGTTTAATAATTATTTTTTAACCATTCTGAATCAGATGAAAGATTTCATGTACGGTGTCAAATAGGAGCCACAATTTGAACCAAATTTGATTAAATTTGATTAAATTTGCCATACATAAATGACATTGATTTTATACATCTCGTACAGGGTATAATATATCGCGAAATATTTGTGCTAATGTGTTTAGAAAATGTATCCTTTATTCTATTCTTCTATTCTACGGGATGAAGTATCAGATATTGTCATTTAGATTTACATGGTTATTATCATGCGTAGGGAAAAATGTTTCTCTTTATAAAGTTGCAATGATTATTGAAACATTTTTCGCTGTATAATAAATCTAGATGGCAATATCTAGTATTTCACTCTGTATAAGGAATATGTTGCGTCCAATCAAATTGAATTCCTTCAATTTTTGAGAACGCAGCACCCGCGTCAACTTAATATTGCGTGATTAGTTTATGTTTTTACGGATCGCGAGTAAGTAGATTATTTATTTGTGACTAGTTCGTGATTATTTATTGTAACTAAACCGTACAATAGTTAAACGTTAGCGGAGTATCGTTTTGGATACGCGTTCTACAGTATTTGTAAGATGTTTCGGTGATCGTTGTCGAATACGTATTAATTTTAGATTCCTGTAATGTCTCGTTGTGTCCTGTTCGGCGTTTCCTCGAGTTCGTTTTCATTGATTAAGAGGGGATATTATATTAACCCTTTGCACTCGACGATGTTTTCGTTACAGAAAAATAGTAATTCGAAGATTTTCTGTCATAAAGTCGAGGATATTTTTAAAATGGCAAATAAGAAATCGCATGGAAATTAAAATGTAGAATTATTTTACTTCGACATTGCACGCATCGTTAGGTAATTTTGAATTTGATATATTAATTAACATCGATCTTAAGAATGTAATTAAATGGTGACTGAGAGGCGTCTCTCGTGAGACATCGAGAGCATCATCTTAATTCCTCTTATATTTCTCTTTTCATTTCGAGTGCATTTTCATGCTTATCGGATAATAATAATAAAGCATCGAGTGCATTTATTTGATTTTCATTTTCTTACTGCCGATACATACAGGAAATGGTTTTCTTAAAAGTTTCCAATATAATAAATATTAATTGTTTTACAATTATAACAGGATACTTGCGACCACACTTGTGCGATTTATTAGCAAAACTATACGAATCAATATTTCGTAGAACAGATCATTATTCTCTGAAATTGAGTGTTTAACACTCGTATGAATATAGAAAAAATAATTAGCCTGGTCACGAATCCGTGCCTTATTTATTGCAATATTTATGCATGTAAATCTTTAACGTATCATATACCTGTTTCACGCATTTGTTAAAGAATTCCAGAATATTAATTTTGTTTTAAATAATTTTCAGTTTAATAAAATAATATACTTTTGCTACGATATTTTTGATATTGTAGATAACCTTTACAAGATAGCCGATATATAGGTCTTAAAAGACCCACCGATTATAATCCACCGGAATGTGATTTCATTAAAATAACTTCTTCGCTATTCATATATTTAATATCTATTACGAAATATCGTTGCTTACACGTATTCTTTCTACATCGATTCGTACCGTCCTATACTAATTAGTGAAGAAATGAATTAAAAACCAGTGATCTGACTAATCGAACAGAAAAATTTGTTGACCACGCCATTCTATAAGCTTTTATTTGAATTAAAAGCAATTTAACGAAATGTCTCTGTAGATTGTAAACACTCCGAAGTGCGTAATTATTTATTCAGAAAATAATTGGAAGTTATTAAAAATGCGCATAAATATTGAATATTATCAACATCATAGATTAGTATGCAACATAGTCGAAAAATCATCAAATTATCGTAACATGAAAGAAAAAATGTATACAGAGCGTGTCTGAAAGTTAGGTATAAGCGGATACCGGATGATTTCGTATGAAAAAATATGACAAAAATATAGAGTAATATTTTTCTCGTTCGAAATTCAGTTTTCGAGAAAATCGAGCTTGAAAATCTGCTTTGCATATACAACTAACATACTACTTGTCGAATGACGTAGCGCTATAACACATAAAAACGTATGTGGAAGAAACACATACACATGCGAGCGCGGTATGTACAAGTTACTAGATTTGAAAAAAAGCGCGACAAAATATTTTACCAAAAATATTTATCGTGACAATTACAGAATTTGGATAAGATGCATTTGAAAATCAAAAGAGTTAAAACATAATATCTAGTATATATAAACGCGTTTGTAATTAAACGAATAGAACTTTGTACATAGCAATGCGAATGCAATTCTCTGTATAACAATCAGTTTGAACAATTTTATAAAGATATAGTAAAATATTCTTTATAAGATACTATATCGTGTTTGTTTTACTGTATTCTATCGGTAGTAAATGCTTCATAAACATCGGTTATAAATATTGTAATCGTTGCATGATCTCTTCCATGAGAACCATATCTTACAATTAACTGTGTATACTAAGCTGTTTTTCAAAATCGACTTTTTCAAAAACTAAGTCCGAATAAAAAAATATATCGTATATCTTTTTCATATTCTTTTATAAGGAATAATTCTTTATTTTAGTTTTATTTACTAATTTCAGTTTAAGCGGTATAATTTAGTTATCTTTAATCGAACCTGGTTATTATATGATAAGGTGTTAATGATAAGACGTGAAAAATATTTATTTTCAGAAATAAAAAGGTTTATCTATTCGCATATAAATTCATATAATTGTCCATATAAAACTTCTGTTGAAATGTCAGTCCTTTGCAAAATAGTTCTTACAAAAACATTAATAAAATACTTATTTATTTGTTTGACTGCTTTTGTGACATAATCTATGTGACATGTCTTATGGGATATTATAAACTTATCTATACCCCATAAATTCATTAACAATTCGGTAAGCAAAGTTACTATGAGATAATTTCAATTGTCCGAGTGTCACCCAAATAAGGATTAAGGCTTATGTAATATATGAAATATTAAAGAAACCTACTATTTATTCGCGAGAAGAAAACGGGCGAATGTTTACATCTCCACTTGAGTTACAGTTCACTACCCTGTTCATTGTCATGGTATTGGTCGTTATTGATCGAAGACGGTGATAAAATAACCGCTGTTGATCTTCGTCTTTGGCTTCTTGTACGAGGCTCTATGTACGTTCTATATATAATAATGATGATGAAATATGTATATTACGTGAGTTCTTCAAAACAGACAACATTCTAAAGTTGGAAAACGCAAATTCTGAATGAAAATTTTCAAGAATTTAAAAATTATATTAACATATTGTATGTGAAAAATTGTGATTGTTCATTTGTGAAAGATACTTTTTTAAAGCGTTAAGGTAAACAGATTACGAGATGCTTAGAAAATTGTGAAATGTATCAGTTCCAGTATTCGTACTATGACCTGAACGCAATTCATTGAGTTTGCTAGAGTTTCTAGTAATAGAAATTGAAAAAATATCGAAATATGTAATTTATAAAAGTATATTTCAAATAATTTGTTTACAGCGATGAACAGGAGTGATTAAACATGATAAGAACTGTTAAAAGAAATATCGTATAAGATGATTAAAATTACATCATTGCCAATTACTTGCTTATTATCGTAGTAAACGTAATAAACTTTTTAAATTATTGCAACGTTTTCCCCTTCAATTGCGATAATAAAAATTCGCGAATCACAATTTGATTCTGATTCTGATTTGAATAAAACTTTATGGAATTGCACAATAGGTAAAGATACTATGTATATTTTTAGTTACTACAATTCAAGTTTTCGAGATAAAACCTTGTTTCTAAGGTCGTAAGATTAATCCAAAATACCAACTCGAAGAAGCTATAAATAGAAAGAAAAAGATACTTTTGTTTAAGGAAAATTTACACTCGTTATCGAATGAGCATTTTCGTAATCAATCATTCATTTCTTGAATTCAAATTACAGCAGCTGATGTATATATTTAGATATGTATGTGTATGTCGTATATAAACTTTGTCTGTTGTTCAATTCTTTCAATTCTACAAAGTTTCATACAGATCGGATCTCCTTTATAAAAGTATAAAATTGTAGTTTACGAATTTTTATTATTTCAACCAACGAGAAATGCATTTTAACAATTTCAACAACTTCGTGAATAATTATGATCCTAAACAAAGAATTGGTAATGTTGATTTTAATCACTTTGTCTTTATTCGATACTCCTTTTGACAATTTCTGTCGCGCGTTCAGTTTTGTTCGACAGTGTATACTGTAGTATGAAAACTAATATGTGCATTTTATTAATGTATGAAATTCATATTATTTTAGGGTTTAAGGAATTTGGGAAATACCTGCTTTTTTAACGCTGTTCTACAATGTTTAGCGCAAACACCTTTCTTAGTAAAAGTTCTCGATAATCTAAGTTCTCCTGGACAAAAGTTCATTTTACCGGGAGGCAAGCATAAACTTGCTAACAGCTCGGAAGAAATTGTTCTAGTAAGTTTATTTTAATAATATATCGTTAATATATATTAATAATATAATCTCCAAAATCTATCTAAATATGAATTACAATTTAGATCAAACTGTAAACACGGTTAGATCATACGTATCGTTTATTTTAACGATAACGTTTAATTTTCGATAAACGTAATTATTATAAAGAAAAATAAGTATACAATGGGCTAAATTATATTCGTTTAATACATTAAAATAGATTTAAGTTGTGTCAAATAATATTTGTAGAAATACTTTAATATATACTTTGTCATATTTAAATTAATCATCGTTCTTAATATTTTCACAAACTATAATTCTTTCGTTAAATTATAGTTAGTTAATATTAGCACAAGATTACGTGCTTTTCTAAAATTAATTGTCTAAGACACTCTGAATGAATCATTTAATCCTGCTATCGGAATTTATTTACGCAATTTATTTATATAACGCAAAAGATATTTCAAACTGAAATTGCTATTTAACACTTTTATCAAATTACGAGCATCGTATTGAGCTTTTTAATTGTAGTATATCATACTTGATCATATGGTGTGAAAAAGTATCGAATGTTGAGTAAAATACTATTATACGTTATTAATTATCGAGATATTCTTCGATTGATTTTTACTTTAGATAATACCTAAAATGTTGTCCGTTATAATCGATTCAAGTACATAGGTGATGGATTAATATTATCGATACATAGACAAGTGTTCCCAGAATTATAGATTTCGTGTTCTAACCATAATATCCTTCGTCTCTTTAGGTATAATACATAGGTACCACAGGATAACATTTATTTTTTATATGTCCCCAAAGGAAATAATTATGTGGCGTGATGTAATGAAAGTGTACCGTCCTGGAACAAAGATAGGCTTGGAAGATCTCGTTATGGTCTCTCAACGATCAAATCCTAAATACCAGAATGACATGTCCATTGAAATTTTCTAGCATGTCATGTCGTCATTGCGTATCGTTAGGAAGCTTTCTGTTTATTGCTTCGATTGGTCTCAGGTACGCAAAACAGTGTAACCCTAATTCGACAAAGTTAGGCAACGTCACTTGAGATTTGGCTAACGAAGGATCTGCAGGGAGTCAACACGAGTCCGCATGCGTGATACCCTTAGACCTTGGCGAACTGAGGGACCATAAACGGATATTTTCCAGACACGATCATTTTCAATAAGTCATCAACGCGCGGGTAATCTCCATGCACGTCACCTCTTAGGGACGCTTCCTCTTATTAAAGTGACCGATTCGCCGATCAAGCAAACGCCCTTGGTCTCATTTAACCGATCAGAGTACCTTTAGCCCTTTAGCGAACTCCCGATTTTCTTCAGTTCGATCGTTGTCTGATTATCTAGCATTCGACTACCTTTAATTTTCTCGTTAACCGTTGCTACCGTTTGTGTTCGACTCGGCTGTAGTCTAACGTTCGACGCTATCTTGAACCTTCACCTACAATATCGTGTGAGAAACGTAGTACATCGATCGGGCCAAACGTAAACAACAAGTGTGAGACGTGATACGCCAATCGGACCAAACGTAAACATAACATCTGAGAGACGCGGTATGTCGGTTCGAGCTACACGCGACAAACAGTTCCTAATATTCTTGGCCGCATTCGGACGCGTTGATATATTTTCTTGAAAAGTATTAGAAAGATACCTTTAAAAATGTCTTTAAAAAGAATATTAAGCGTCGATGAGGATATTGAAAGTTCTGCTAACATCGCAAATAGCGATTTGGTAGATATTATAAATAGCGATAGTGATAGTGATATTTTATCACCTGTACGAAAACGTTGCAGACGACTGATTATCGAAGATGATACCGACGATGATGTCTACATCGATGATCAACAATCAGAGCATTGGATTTGGAAAGAAGAAAGTAATAAACCAAAAGTATGGAATTATACGGAGACTCCTGGCATAAAAGTGGCAACTTTAAATCAGTTAGGTGCAAATGAAACAGAATTGGATATTTTTAATATAATATTTGATAATACGTTTTGGGAAAATATAGTAACGGAGACAAATCGGTACGCAGAACAAATAATAAACATTAAAAATGAAAGACGACCAATAGACGAAAGTTGGTTTCCCGTAGATTCTGGGGAAATAAAAATATATCTCGCATTATGCATAATAATGGCTCAAGTTAAGAAACCAATAATTCAAATGAATTGGTCGAAGAGGGCCGTTATCGAAACGCCGATATTCAGAAAAACGATGCCATTGAAAAGATTTCTGCAAATAACTAAATGTTTGCATTTTGCAAATAGCAATACAATCGACAATACAGATAAATTACGGAAAATAAAACCTGTGACAAATTTTTTAAATCAGAAATTTAAAGAAGCGTATACAATGCAGGAAGACATTACGATCGATGAATCGCTAATGAGATATAAAGGGCGTTTATTTTATAAACAATTTAATCTATCAAAAAGGGCGAGATTCGGTATTAAATTTTATAAATTATGCGAGTCAGCATCCGGTTATTGCTATGACTTCAAAATATATACAGGTATTGACAAAAGAAATTCTAATGACAGTGTATCGGAAAACGTTGTGAAAGAGCTATTACAGTCAGTGTTACATAAAGGACATACTTTGTACTTAAACGATTGGTACTCTTCACCAAAGCTGTTTATAACTTTGCTTAACAATAAAACTAATGCCATTGGGACGGTACGTTTGAACAGAGAGAATATGCCAAAAGATTTTGTTAAAGAAAAATTACAAAGGGGAGAATGTATAATGAGGAGCTGCAGTGGAATACTGGCATTAAAATGGAGCGATAAACGAAACGTTTATATTATTTCTACGAAACACGAAACAGCAGAAATGACAGAAGAAGGCAGAAATCAATTCGATCCCACTCTGAAACCAAAATCTGTCATCGAGTACAACAAAGGAATAATTGGAATTGATCGGCAGGACCAAATGCTAGCGTGCTTCCCCGTAATGAGGAAATGTATGGAAGGATACCAAAAAGTTTTCTTTTACGTATTTGATATTGCGCTGTTTAACTGCTATGTTTTGTTTAACAAGCTAAATACTGGAAAGCAACAGAGTTACGCCGAATATAGAATCGAAATAGCAGAATCGTTAGTGAAAAATATCCCGTTTCCAGAATATAAACAAAAAGGACGATTATCGAGCGGAGATTTACCAGAAAGACTGCACGCGAAATATTGGGGTCATTTTCCCAAACATATAGACCCAACACTATCGAAATCGAAGCCAGCGAGATCCTGTAAAGTTTGCACAAAACATACAAAACGTAGCGAAACAACGTGGGAGTGCAAAAGATGTAAAGTTGCGTTACATGTGCCGATATGCTTCGAGAGATACCATACGATCGAAGATTATTAATTTCCTGGAAATTTTTTCCAACACGTCAATAATTTAAAATATATGCTTCTTTAGAAATTGTAATGTTATAATAAAATGTTATTGATTTATTATTCCCTTTGAGATAATAAATCTTTCTTGTTCGATAAACAATTGGTAGTAATTATCTATCAAATATCTTGGAAAATAAAATTAGCTGTACCTTACACATGAATTTACATATGAAAAGACATGTGCAACTTGGAATGCTCAGTCAAAGCGTGGAATGGCTCGACGTGTGACCGACTTTGCGATCGTTTATTGCACGCTATTCGAATTTAAATCGTACGTGGTTAACCGAAGAAAATCTCGATAATTATTACTTTTTCATCCTGTATATCTTAACAGTTTTTTACTTGATATTCAATATTTCTTATTCATCTGTCAAATGTTATATGCTACAGTTAAAAAGCTAAAGATGATTTTGATATCCCGATAAAAAAAGTGCAATAATTGAAAATTAATTATTATATTGCAAGTTCTTTTTGATACCAAAACAACATTTGTTTCTTTAATATTGTTAGTACCGTTTAATAACATTTGTATTTATTGATTATGTACAATTCTATCGTGCATATATCTGTATATGGTATCTGGTTTAAATCAACCTGTTAGCATTTAGAAGTTTGGTCGTACAATTTCCACAGGATTTACATTAATTAATCCCGATAATATGTATATTAAGTCTGAAAGTTCGTACCTGGAGAACAGCATATGTAAAAGATACAAGTAAAATATAGTTCTAATTTTTATAGAGTTTTGAAAGTCACCGCAGTTTGAAATAATTCTCCATCTTTCATATCGTTCAAGATATTTTATCGTTTTTGTTTAAATCGAACACTTTGTATATACATGGATAAACATAAATTTATATTTTACACGGATAATGCTCTACCGATGAAAGTTTGAGCATTTAGTAAAAATATAATAATTTTAGACAAGAAATAAGTGTAGGGGACATGAATTGAGAAAGAAAGTTATTAAATTCTAAAATGTATTTATTTGAAGCTAAAGTGAAATTAAAAGTAAAGTAATACTACGACTAACAATTCCACTGACTCTGTTTACATTGCTGTCCTGTTCGACTGTATGACTGTACCACTGTATGTTCCTTCGACTGTTCTGTATCATTCTCTTATTCTTCTTCTCTGACTATTCGACTGCGTAAATTTTCATCTCTATGACTGCCCTCGCTAAGTAAATCAGTCTCCTTTTATTCGCTCACACGCACACACACACTCATACAAATCATGCCAAACATCTCATGTACATTTTGAGAACTCATTCGTCTTTATTATGTAATCTAACAAACATTCGCTCGACCCGTTTGTCCTTCGTGTCGATAATAATAGTTTAGATTTATCCGTCATTCGTACCAGCATTTATCTTAAATATTCTCACCACTACATAAATTTTATGTTCACTTTAATAACAAAACAAAAGAATTATAGTCAAATACGTCTACGTCGATGTTCTTGAAATAATTAATCTTGAAATATTAATTAATTAATAAAATTAATTTCATTATATATTTATTAGCATGATATTACTGTTATATGAAACGTCCCAATAGAATCTTAAATATGTTTGTTTCTGTATGAAAAATATTAAGCATACGATATTGAATGGCTCTAAAGAAGGAATAGCATATGAAATAAAATTTGTTTGAATAAAGGTAATTATATTCAAACGTGCAAAATGCAAATAAACATTAAGGAAGTGATCAGTTTCAAAGTAATTAATCATAATATTGAGATACTGTGCACATATTTACACGAATTTGCTGTTTATGTTAATGTATATTTAAAGTGATTGCTATCAGAGACCATACTTTGTGTAAAATAAGTAATAAGGAATTCTAATGCTTTCTCAGTTTTCGCTGGTGTAACAACAGTATAAGCTCTATTTTTAGAGGTGTTAGAGAAAGTAGTTGTTATTGTTATTTAGTCATTATTGTTTCGAGATTCTGGTAACTAATCACTTTTTAAAAGTCCGCATTTACATTCTATATAACACAGGATTACATGATTTATACAGGACCATATACAGATGTGCCAGGATTCGATGATTTCGAATTACATAGGTTATTCAAGTGCTATTAACGACATATTTTTCAGCCACCCATAGAGGGTACTTTAGAAGGTTGGGGTTTGAGTTTTACCTCAATTTTATGTAAGACTCTTTTAAAAATGCAAAATACCGATGGTCATCAATCTTACCTTCCATCAGAGTTATTAGATTCTTTTAAAAAGAAAACAATGCAATGTATGGATGGAGGGCAACATGACTCGCATGAACTTCTTAGGCATCTTTTAGAAATAGTACGAAACGAAGATCTCAGGGTGAGTATGGCTACTTTGTTTAATTTTGTATATAATATTTTCAACGTTTACTTCGTTTAAGGAATGAAACTAGAAAATATGAGAAAAAAGAACTCAAGTTGCTGCATAGCAAATAATTTCATAATTGAATATAATTATTAAATAATAATCAAATAATAATGTTACATTAACAAGTAATATTGTTACGAATTTCTTATTTATTCTTAAACGGTAGAATAGTGCTTCGCTTTAAAATCTATCCCGAATACTATGCTAGTTATGCGATAGCAGATCTTAATAGGCGAGGGATCATACTTTTTGGAGTTGTCATACGAAATTGTTAATAACTCGATATTGAGTTTATTTGCATTAAAGATGTTAATAATATGAAGATAGATATAAGATAATAATAATTTTTATCACTTGTATTAAATTTTCTATTCTACAAATTTACTACTTCCTCGTCGTATAGTTTTTTCATTATAACGAAAAAGAATCTATGTATACTAAAAAAAGGTGTAACCGGTAAACGATAAAGAAATATCTACTTTTTGAAATGCGTGATACATAGTGTATCCATACATAGGCAGAATTTTTCAACTACTTGCGACAACCCGACAAAAAAATGTTTTGAACACAAGTTACTGTATTTTCTGTATTATTTAGAATTCCGGAAAAAATTTGTTTTTCCAAAATTTTGATCAAATTCGTTTTTTCAAATAACACCGTATATTTTTTATTTAATATTATCGTACCGTAATCTATGCCTTGTTGAATTAATAGTAGTGGTATGCTTCTAGCATACCATGATCTTCGCATAATCTTGAAGGCAGAGATAAAAATTGCAACAAAAAATGAGACAATCAGCACGAATGGGTGATAACTTGTGTCTATTATTAAAACTTCAAAATTACACTCACATCAGGAACGCCGAGTAAATGTTGTATTACTAGAAACTTATCCAAGAACTGATCTACGAACTGTCGACAATTCGCAATGAATTGCCCTATTGCTTAGCTACTGCGATTACCACCGGATTTCTCATCGCTTCATTTTTTCTATGCGGTCATCTGCAGTCGATAGTTTAAATAATAATTGAATAATAATATTTAAGGTTATTTAATAATAGCATTTAAATGCTCCATATTTTGTATTGGAATAGCATAAACTATTGACTGTAGATAACACCATAGAAAAAAATCAAGTGCTGACAAATCCGAGGATCATGGTGCATTATGGCTCATTAAGCAATAGGACCATATGTGGCTCGTTTGTAAAGTGCTAAGCTAAGCTGTCACAAGTTAACATTTTTTCTTTGTTGCGAATTGTCGACTTCTGAAATAAGTTTCTAGCAATACATTTATTCGAGGATTCTGATGCGAATGTAATGTCGAGTCTTAATAATAAGCAGAAGTTTTCATTCATTAACGCTGATTGTCACGTTTTGCTGTAATTTTCATTTCTTTGCCTGCAAAATCATGCGAAGGTCATGGTATGCTAGGTCGTTGAATTCGGCTAGATATGAGCTATAATAATATTAGGTCTAAAGTGCTATTTGAAAAAACGAATTTGACCTACAAAATTTTTGAAAGAAAAAAAATATATATATAAAAAGAAAAACTTTTTTCAGAATTGTATAGAAAACAGAAAATACCAAAAACTTGTGTTAAAAGTATTTTTTTGCCAGATTATTGCAAATTCTCGAAAAGTCGTACCTAACGATCCATGGACACCCTGTATAAGTTAAAAATGACTTCTAATATAAAAAGTTTGGAATATTAGATTTCTGTTTATTCTTACTTATTTTCAGACATGCTAATACGTGTTTCATCGCTATTAAGTTTATGTTAATAATAATACTAATACACTTAGTATACATTTGAATATAGTTAGCAATTAAAATAACGTTAAATCAAAAGTTTTTTGCGAATATTATGAAAAGTAAGGCTGTAAGGGGGTTAACTTTGTTATGTATATGTATATTGAGAACTCATTGTCAGCTATTGGCATCTACCAAGAGTTGTGGATTCTTGCCCCGATTGATGGTGGTGGACCGTCCCGGACTAATAAGTCATATTATTTCAATCACGAGAAAATGAACGTCGTTAAAATAGGCAACTAGTGCGTTCAGATGAAATTATCTAGCCCACTTGTTTAATTATTTATGCAGCAATTATCTTTTTCGGTTTTTGAACAATTAAAATGCCAGCTTTGTCCACATTCTAAATATTTGACAGTGACATTGTAATATTTCATCGATAAATTTCCAAACTTTGAAAAGAAATGAAATCTACATTTTGTTTGTAGTAAGTCCGTATCCTAAAATACAACAGGAGCTATTTCACGCATGACAATTTATGAAAATATCCTGCTCATTTCATCGAAATAGTCTAATAAACGTTATACTTGTTTTTAACTGTCATTTGATCCACAACCACGAAACAATTAATGATTTTGGTATTAGGTAATCTAAATAGACTAAAAAATAAGGTAAAAGTTTATTTTAATGCCTTTGTCCTAAATTTGTTTATTTCTTATCGGTTTCTCTTTTCTTTTTTTTTCTTTCTTCAAAAAATGCTATATTGTAGCATCGTAAAAGGAATTGCAGAATACGTTGATTGATCCCGATGATTTTGAAGTATGTTACAGAGGACGAAATTCTGAACAACCGTTATTTGAACAATAATTGTCGTTCGACCTTAGTTTTCGAGATATTTGCAAAAATTGTTGGTAGTGCTACATTAATGTCTTTCTTCGCATTAAACAATATTTAAAATGCGTTTTTTCTACATATTTTAATTCAGTTGCAATTTTCTTTTCATTTTACTTTACCATTTTCTTCATTTTTCCATGTCCCTAATTCCTCTTACAAACATATGCTAGACCATGTCTTTTCGTTCATGTTCAGTACTTTTACCAATTATTTGATCGCTGTAATTCGTGTAATAACTTATAAGGCTTCTCTCTCGACGTATTTCTATTTATTTACAAATTTACTAACAAATTATTAACAAATTTCTCTTGGATCCTTCTTGCCTCGTATATTTACCATCATAAATTGTAGGAATTATGTATTCACGGAATTCAGACTGTTTTAAAAAACGGATTCGAATGGCTAACACGATTGCGGCTGATCTGGTTATCGAGAACGGACGAATCAAAAAGAAAAATTCTGAAAAATTCTGAAAAGGAAAAATTTCAAAATTTAAAAAAACGACGATACTTTGGAGTTTAATATTTTCTATTTAATTTAATTTCATTTCTTTATTTACCTTTCAAGTTTAGAAAAAGAAATAAATAAACGCATTGGATTTTGAAATACAGGTAGCCCTCCTACAACACGGCATCCTATAACACGGTTTCGCTCTAACACGATAAGAAAATTGCAAAAACCTTTGTACAACACTGTACTTCTACATGAGCAGTGACGACAAAGAAATTTATTAAATTAAGGTTTCGTTAAATTAAAATAATATCTTTGCTTTTCTTTCCTTTTGTGTTGTACATACGTTTATATTTTTAATAAAAATTAAGTTGTTTATGTAGAATTAAAAAAAAAATTGTTTTTAGTAAGTTTTCGAAACGTAACCTTTTTGTACTGGCTCTGGGTCTCATACAACACGGTTTCACACAACACGACATTTTCTAGGAACCTATCTACCGTGTTATAGGAGGGTTACCTGTACACGATAAAGGCATATTTACCAGACATTTCATGTCAAATTTGAAGTTAGTTTGTCGAAATGATGTTTGTATGTTTATATCCATACGTCCTCATACTTAATCGATTTGCTATTTCAGAACTGTACAGTACACGATTCTTGAAAATTGTTAACGAAGTAAATTCAGTATAAATGGAGAAAATTTCAAGTAACCACGAGTACTCGAAGTAATAAGTTTCTTGCTTGTTATGTTCATGTCTTTAGACGTGTATTATTTCGCGAATTTTACGAATTTCATTAAATAATTTTGTACGCAGATTTTTCGTATCTATCTTTTTTTTGTGAGGATTAGTAGAAGACCCCTTGAGATTTTGCTTTTTGCGCGTCTTTGGTACAAAACGAAACAAATTAACCGTGTTGTAGGAGGGTCGACTGTATTTGTCATTGTTTTCATCATACGAATTTAATTACACGTTATCACACGAATGCGGTATGTTTAGTTATATATTTCAGGTTGGTACTTTTTTATTAATAACTTTGATAGAAAGTTTGTGGAGCTTTTATATATTATCTGTTGCTAAATGACAGTCGAGAGACAATATACATATATCGAAATCATTTCTCTACACAAAAATCAAATAATATTGTAGAGACATGGTTGGTGGTAAAATAATATAGTGTCTATTTATTAAATAACAAATAATAATGAATTAAATTAGCACTGTGCGGTGACAATTAGGCTTCGAATTTATAACTACTACTACTTAAGATTACAACACAATTACAACTGTTACAACTAAAACACAACTAGACGACTAACAACTTCTTTCTTCACAACTCTACTACGAACTGCGAACTGCCCCGACATACATACTTTCAACATACTTTCAACATACTGCAACATACTGCCCGCTTCACGCCCTTGTATCCCTATTTAAAACCATACACTCTATCCTCTTTCATACCTATTCTCTCTTTCCCACGCACTCCTTGCAGCCTTGCCCTCAGTTGGTCATGTAGCCCAAACACTCAAACGCATTACTAAAGACGTTCTTCACTTTCATCCGATACATTCATAAACATCCCATGCACATGATCCTAGAGCGTCCACGGTTATTCGTCCTTCCGCACGCACTGCAGATAATACGCTCGACCCACGTATCCTGCGATACCACAACATAGTCGCTATATGTTCGTAACAATATTATTATATTATCAGTAATTATGTATCCATTATATTTGTATGAATGTTATCTAATTATATTTGATTAAATTATTTATCTTATTACATTTAATGTTAATTTTTTCAAAAATGTATAATCGTTACCGTTTCTAGTAATATTTATCAGTGAATGCGAAAACATTGTTTCTTTTAGAGATATCAAAGTATAATTCTGAAAGAAGTAGGTTTGAACGAAAAGACTAATCCAGGAGCTGTAGAGGAAAGTGTTAAATCTCGTGCAAAGTTTTATGGAAATCAGGCTAGTTCGAGATTACTCGGAGCAGAACCTGTTTTTCGTGGGGCTTTAGTTTCCACGTTAGAATGTCTGGAGTGTCATCATACTTCACAGAGTACAGAACTCTTCTTAGATCTCAGTTTACCTGTTATGGCAGATAAACCACAACCACCAGCTTTAAAGTAAGAATTATTCGCTAAAATAATTAAGAAAACGTGTAATGACTTAGAAAAACATGAATGTCTCATTTAACCTTATTGTCCTAAAATATTCTATGTGCTTTTAGAAATTAGAATATGAACATTATATTTCATCTAAATGTTTTATGTGGCATCTGATCGTATGATTCTTCGTTAATGTCTACACGTTGAAAATATGAATAAATAAACAAAGCGATTAGAAAGGTCTTATTGTAACAGAATTTAACGACATCTTTAGTTTAATTGTATCTATATGAAATATATTTTATATATCATTCGAAGAGTTTTCACATATAAATAAGCTGCAAAAATTCTTTGTTTGTATTTATTAAGAAATTGTTTTTACTTAAAGAATCTTCAATTGTATTATAAACTATATTAGCCACCTACTATCTTAATTTTTCAGCAGCTATAACTACGTGAGAAGAAATTGTAGTAACATTTGTACAGTTAATATAAAGGGCAAATCTTATATTTTCACATTCCTAGATTGAATATCTACTTAAATGTTTTTATAGAAAGAGACAAAGACGGTTTTCCATTTAAAAAATTATAAAAATTTAGTTTCCTTAAAATATTCTTTTCGGGGTCCAAATTACTAAAAATATTAACAATAATTTAACATATAGCAACATTCAGGACTGACGTTTTGTACATGACTAAAAATTGGATACATTCAATATTGTATTACAATATAATTTACTAGTCTGCGTTGATAAATCTGAATACTAATTGAAAAAAAAAAAAAAAAAAAAGAAATGGTTACTTTTCAACTTTATTTGAGTCTTATGAGCATCGCAGAGAATTCAGATGAATTTATTAGAATGGAGAAGTGAAATAATATTTATATTGTAATAACTCTGAAAAAGAAAAGGATACGTTACGCCATGTATAAACACAATAACTGTAAATTTTCAAAGAAAATAGTCAATTATGGCTTTTTTTATTTCGAAATGAATAATCCTGTCTAAAATAACTTGTACTTAGAAGCAGCAAAAATATTTTAATCGATAAGGATAAAGAGATGAATATATCTCATATCGGCAAACATGATTAAATGAGACAATTCATTGCATTAATAAAAATAAGTAGTAGAGTAAAAAAAATGAATATCAGTTCTTATTAAATTTGTTATAATTGTAGCAGTTAGAATTTTATAAATTACTAAGGCGATTAAAATATGTTGCTATTATTAGCCTAAACATGCTTTCAATCACATTATATCTAAAATATAAATCTAATCGTATAATGTTTTGCATGATTTACTAATTAACGAATAATAAAAATTCTAACTGAGCAATTTCGTTACCTATATATTTATATAAGAAGGAAGAACAATGGGTTTGAGGACACATTTGATATAATGGGAAATAATATTTCACATGTACCTTCAAAACATCAATTAAAGAAGGAAAAGAAAGCTGCCCGCAAAAATCGAAAAAGTAAAAAACAAGAAATTCATAACCACGATGATAATTTTGTATCCGATAAAAGTAACAGTGTCGAAGAAAATAACGGTGTACGTGAATCAGGTAATAGTGCAATCTGTATTTTTAGAGATTAAAATCTGTAATTTTCAATTTTTCAAGATTATATTTTTCAGGTTTTAAATTATCTTTTAAAAATTACGTTTATTTTAATTTATTTTATCTTTACCTATAATTGAAAACACATGCTTGCAAGAATTGCTGCTTTCTTTTTTCTTTAATGTCATGATAGAATATAAGCTTATAAACTCGGTGATCATTTTTTTTTATAGAAGAACACGATGCAGATGTGGAAGATAATACGGAGATAGAGGGTCTTGCTCCAGAAGTTGGTGAATCAGGTTATAGCTCAGAAAAACACTCTACTTTAGCAAGTCCAGCTTCTCCTTCGACCGAAGCAATGAAAACAAATGAAGCTACGAGTGAAGTACCATTAGATAATTATTTACAATTTAGTACAACAGATAATCTTTCCTTAGTACAACTACTGAATCGTTTTGATACAAATTCGTTACCCAGGTATTATCAATTATGATCGAACAAACAAACTCGTCTTTGTTAAATAAGATTTTCAATTCGACAATTTATTTTCTTCACAGTCCCAATTCAACAAATGCATGTACAACAAACTCACCACACGCAAAAGCTGTGGATACGTTAGATAGTTCCGAAAGTTTGGAAAATGAAAGTGGAATACAAACTGGATGTCCTATGTCTACTTCTTTAGCAATGACCTCAGATTTAACGAGTCCAGAAGTTCCAACTGTCAGTTTTAATTCTGTTGTATCGAAAGAAAGTACAAGTTCTATGACTACTTTAATGAACGGTAAAACTATGGAAAATACTGCACTGTCAACGCTTGACCTCGCTTTAACGGAATTTGCTAACTGTATCGAACAAGAAGAGTCTACCTGTAATCAACAATGGTATCGTTCAAATTTATTTTGCTTCTAAATTTCAGTATTTTACGTCTAGATTCGTTTCTAGTATTCGTTTGATCTTTGATATAATTAAGCATAGGGAAGCTTATTTTAATTTTATTATTTTTATCACGTGAATGTCTATAAAAATAATGGATATCAAGGAAATGTTTTGGAACAAAGTAGCACCAAGGAGAGTTGTCTAATTAATGTACATATAATTTAACTAAAATTTTGTACACAACTTGAAACTAAAGCTAACAGTTTATAATTTTTGGTATAAATAACTTTATGTGATATTTAATGTGAAAATATTTATGTCAACATTTTTTTGTACTATTGGAAATAACAAAGGTATTACGTGTGTTCAAGATAAAAAGAACACTCTATATATATATTCGAGAAAAGCATACATGCATCGATATCCGCTCTACATTAAACAATGATAACTTTATTTCCAGAATATTATATCAAATACACGTAAATATAGAAAATTAACACACTTTTCGAATGAAATTACAATACGACATGCATAAGACAACAAGCAATACAGAGAGAAATAGAAAGTAGTATTCACACAGTAACTTAGTTTTTTAACAAACACTTGTTATGGCAATATACTTTCTTTTTCTAACGTATTTTTCAAATCGCGAAGATTTCATTTTTTCTTGTATATGTTTAGACGGTTTGATTTCAGGGAGTCTCCAGTGGAAATGCTTTCAAGATACATACGGTGTATACAATATCCTAGATCTACTTTTATCAATTTTTTCGATGTGTTCTATAAATAGAAATAAGACCATGGTTCCATGTAACAAAAATTCCAGAAATGCTTTAAAAAAATTACAAAAAATATATTGTTGATCTTAAGAAAACAAGTTATGATGTTCACCCTAACGGTCGATTTTTGAGACATTCACGCTGATCTGGCAAAAAAAAATGTTTCAGAAGTCATTTAGTATTTCGTTGAAAATAGATGAGAATGTGATAAGATTGAAGGCACCTTAACTTTTTTAAATAGTACTATGTATTTTTGACTGCATAACATTATAGGTGATGGAGAAACGAATTTAGAGACCTATTACATAATGACTTTTGAATGACCTTTAGCTCCATAATTCACAATAATTGAGAAAATAATTTGAAAAATGATCATTCAAAGATCATTGTGTAGCAGGGCTCTGAAATCGTTTCTTTATCGATTATAAAGCTGCGAAGACAAAAATACAATTTAAACAAATACAAAAAATATAAAAAGGCAAGGTGATCTGAATCTCTTATCGAATATAAAACTTTTTCGAAATTTTTATTATTGCGCATTATTTTCATCAAAGTATATCTTTTATTCGAAACCTTTTTTTGTCAACTCAGTGTAAATACCTGAAAAATCGTGGCGACCGTTAGGATGAGCTGTATATACGTATGAAACGGGATATACCCTGTATTTGCACGTAGGGATATATTTGATTGGGATACAAAGATTAAGAGATATTATTTTATTCTAAAATATATATATTTATTACGAGTTAAATAAGACTAAAAGTAAAGTACAACTAAAAGATTAGACTAATAACTAATCTATGATTACGCGACCGACCGACACTCTCACGTACTTCCTTTGACTTATTGTCAGCACACTAAAATCTGCCTCAGAACTGCCTAAGAACTGTTTACTATCTCTCATCTTCGAGGAAAACCCACGTTCCCATGCAATCGCTTTCGATCCTTAAAAATATCCTACATACATGTGAAACGGGAAAGATGTAATCATCTTTTCTAGTTCAAAAGTATCTATACGAAATTAATTAATTACAAAATATAATGTTACAATGTCGCTACGAATTGTTCTAATTCAGGGCGTTGCTGTGTCGTACAAGTTATTATAATAAAATTAATAGTGTTACGGAATAAATTAAACCGTTCGGTTCATTGGAAATCTTTTCCTTTTCTGAATTATTTTTGTAATCTTTTGTTGGCGAGATGTTTTCTTTTTAACGTTTTAATTATATAACGAATGGGTAATGAAAATAAAATTAAAGTATAAGCGACACTCGGTTGCTTAATTCGTAATTTGTCAATTAATGATATATAATAGTTTTCAGAAAAGTGATTACGTTTTATAATTATATAGCCGAAGTAAGAAGGGTACTGCTTCTTTTCTTTTTTCTTTTTGATTCATTTAGTATGTGTATTATTACTAATTACTTATTTTTTATTTAGTTATTAGTATTATTTTTGTTACGTGTATTGTTATAATTCCATTAAAACTTTTTATTACATTTCTTTTATTCATTGAAGTTTAATTCTCGTGCGATTTATCGATGGAAAATAATTTTTAATGTCCGATGTGTCACTTATCAATGGGAATTTGAACTTTTATACTTTTAATATATTTATACTATAAGTTCTCGAAACATAAAATTAAAATTTCCGTTAGGGGATAACTCGTTGCTTAGAGTTAACTGAACGTATTGACGCGTAAATATTTATATATGTTAATTATAGCATTAATTGTGGAAAAATGTGATCACTTATCTCGAAAATACTGTAATTTATCAAATCAACGTTTTTGACCCAGTAGTGTATGGACTAATAGATTCATTTTTTGAACTTGAACTTTATTGATAATATCCTCGTTGAAGCAATTATTAATCATATGTGCAGAACGAGACTCGAAAAACACAGTCTCTACTACGCTGGAGAGTACTTTGACTCTAAAATTCCGCAGACTAGGGACTGGATCTGACTTAATCTCAACTCTTAACGACTCTTACTAAACCCGCTCTTAAAAGAGTTTTACAAAAAATTCCCAACAACTAACTAACGAACTCGTAACGAACTGCCAACACTTGAAGTAACGAACTAAACTCCAAACCTGGCCCTTTTAAGCTCGTTTGGAAGGCAAGGGCCTCTCCCGAAGGAGGAGAAAACTCCCTCCACGCCAAGCTCACCCTCGGTTTACGACAGGGAAAGCCGGGAGAAAGCCCAGGGAAAGCTCATGTGGCCTGGCCCCGATCTCCTATGACCCATCTGGCAGCTAGATCCTAACTGGTCCTCTAAACCTGGTCAAGTGTTCCCCACAGGAACACTTCGACCATTGTACCTTAACACGTTGAGTGCTACGTCAGTCCCTAGGCACTGACAGTAGACTTTTCGTTTGGACGGTGTGGATTCTAGGGACTGACAGCGAATTTTTCGTTTGATCATCATCGGTGCGTAAGACTGGCATTGTCAAGGGTTAAATTATCAATGACAATTAATATATTGTAAAAATTTAATTCCCTCTGCTAAAGTAAATCTTTACACTTCCGTGGCTTTTTTCGACTGATCGTTTCTTGGTGATCGCCTTTTTGCCTTTCTGGCATTCCCCACCCCATTATCTTCTGTTTATAATTTGTATATTTGTGCATTGGCTGTACCATTCTCACAGTCCAAACGACAAAGTGAAACAAAGTAATCTTCTGCCCATACCCTTCGGTATACTTGAGCGCTCGGCATCAAGCGTTAGCCATCTAGCTGCCGCCTGAGCGGAAAGTATAGCAAAATCAGCGCCGCACTCAACGTGTTAATAATACCTAAAAATATCCTACAGAATTTTCATATCATTTCTAGTGAACGTTTTTCTCGTAAATGACAAGTGTATGGGAAAGCTATAAGAGCAAATTACATTGTTTTTTTTTCCCATAAACAACATGATCGGTTATAATATTCTTCTTTCAGTTTTCAGAGACTTGAAAACAGCATAGGTGACCTGCAATTTTTTAAAAAGAAAATGATATTTCAGTTTCTTTTGTGTGAAATAAGCTTGAAATGAGTTCATTAAGCGAATGAAATACAATAACGTATAAAATCGTGCAAGATTGAAATTATAAAGAAAGTTTCAACGTTTCCTAGCACGAGTTACCTGTGTCACCGTGTAGATTTATCAATGAGAAATAGTTGTAAATATAACATTACAAATGTTTCAATTATTTCGCTTATTTTGGATTTTGAGGATCTTTATGTTAATTTGCCCACAAGTAAGGTATAGCATAGACTTACACCTTTTACATTCATCGGATAGCAATGCAAAGAAAGGGCTATACTTATCATTCATGAGAAAAGTGCTGGTTACTAGAAATATATTGTATTTAATATATTATATAAGATACTCCTAGTTAAATTGTACAAAATTTGCAATTGTAATTAGCGATGTTTTTCGTAGTCAAAGCATTTGTTGCCAGTTCTCCATAGTTTAAACTATATATTTTCGAAAATTAACTTTTGCAAAATTTAGTTTAAGATTCCATGAATTTTAAAGATATTCACTGTCAATATTTGGAAAATCGTGTAAATTAGAATGACAGTTTCTTTCTTCCTTGTTATTCATGTTCAGATTTAATGTACATTTTGTATACATACAAAATACAATGAGAATAAACAATAGTATTTTCATTCATGATTTTGTTTGCGAATATGAAAAATAAAGAATGAAAATTCTTTATGCGTAAAGCATATTTACGCTTTGAGTATTTTAAGCAGTGTTCACAGAAATACACAGGCTAAGCTGTTGTTGGCGGTCAAATGGAAGTTTTACTTCAACTATTAGTATATGTACAAAAAGTAATTTTTACGCGTGAAACATAATCCTGCAAGATCGTATGGAAACTGTGAATTGTGAGCACGTTCATATAATGCAAGTTCGTATAACGTTAATTTTAATGGTTTCTTAAGTGGTCACTCACGCGTAAATGCAAACTTTAGCCATTCTTATTAAATCTGTTTTAAGTCAATGTTATATCTAACGCTATGACTCATTTTCGCAGTTTATTCAACTATTCTTTCGTAATACAAAATTATATTTTTAACCATTTTTATTGACTTTTCAAGTTGTTATCACGCTGACAGTAAACACGCGTTTAAACACTGGTGTAAGTGAACACAGTTCTCAGAGTTGGCAGAAGGAAAAAAATTCAGAAAATTTGTATTCAGTATGTTTATCACTATCGCACGAATCAAAATAACTATTGTAAGAATATATGAGATTAGGCGAGTTCCCGTTACCGATAAGGCGGCGTGAGTGAGAAGCACGTAGCAATGATAAACGGGGTCTGAAATCGAAGCGGCGATCCCCTTGATCCGCGATCAATGAACAAAGGTGGATGAAGGGCGTTGAGAGGAGTTATTGAGAGACAGTTTTTAGGAGAGTATTTAGCGGCCAATTCTTATTGAATATCAGTAAACCCCTCTTACACTATTTTGTGATGGAAATTGGTAGAATAGCGATAACTTAAATTAAATACTCTAAAATTTTTTCATTCTCTATTGTGATTTTTTAAGAAAAGAAAGCGATGCACTCATCCTAAAAATATTATTTTGATTTCAGCGAGGTTTATTAGTGTATGTGGAATAATTGATTTCAGTTGAAAACTATGGTAGTTGAAAGGAATTAGATTTCGAGGAAAATGTATTTAGAATTTTGAATGTGGGACATCATTAGTTATAATACTAATCAATCCAGGCAGTATATTCTTAAATATGTATACTTTCAAATTATGAAATAAAACATAAATCAGTCTTTTTGAGTTCTCACATGAGAACGACCTTTCGAACACCATATTTCTTGCAAGAATTAACATATTTTCTTAAGAAATTTAGTTCAATCAATCTAATTTTTATAATTTGTTGTTTCTTAATTGAAAGTATAACATTTTCGTTTATATTATATTAAAACATTGTAAGATGCTACAAAGATGCTATAAAATATTACCGATGCTATTTGCACTCAACTTTTAATTACAAATGATTGATATATTAATTTGCAAGTTTGAACGATTTAAAACTTAATATATTTATTTTAATAATAGGAAGCCAAGAAGAAAAATAGAAGACTTTCACAATGATGCTAACGATGGAATCAATAATATTACATCTGGAGTTTCGAAAATAACTTTTAGTAATAGTCTTCAGCAATCACCTACCCGATATGCAACTAAGGAAAGAGAATGTTCGATACAATCGTGTTTGAATCAGTTCGCAGCTCTAGAATTAATGAATGGTAGCAACGAAGTTAGTTGCGAAGCATGTACTGCCAGAGAAAAGAAGGTATAGTGAATTCAACGATATAAGATTTGTATGCTAAAGACAGATTAAAAAGTGATCTATATTTAATAGCATAAATAGGAATTTCATGAAAGATGAAACTTTTTTCTTTTACGATTTAAACAAATAAACATGTTAGTAATTGATAACATTTTATAATCTACGATATTGATTCACATTTGGAATATCAAGCATTTAATATTTAAATATTTAAAAAAAATTATAGGAAAATTGCTATTTTAAATTAATTAGTAAAACGAAATGACTTTTTCATGGTGTTAGGTGAAACAGAATTGTAAGATGGTATGCACTCCGAGTACGAAACAATACCTGATCTCTCGCGTACCCGCTATTCTGATTCTTCATTTAAAACGATTTCAAGCACAACGAGTTGATTTTCGAAAAGTAACAAGGCATGTTTCATTTCCAATATTGCTCGATCTAGCACCTATCTGTAAGAATCATAAAAAAGCTAGAATTTACGCACTTTACGGTGTTGTTGAACATAGCGGAACCATTCACGGTGGGCATTATGTTGCGTATGTAAAGGTAATTATATAAATATTAAGAATTTACTATGGTTTATTACAGATCAATATATCGTATTGTTCAAGTGACATAATATCGCGAATATGGTGGAATTAGTCGAGTATGAATACATGATTGTATAGATAAAATCAATCAGACTGAATAATTAATAAACACCATAATGTTTTAATTACGATTTTACTACGATTCCGTTTTAATGACACAGATATTTGAAATCGAAGCACTTCAGTCTTGTAATCAAACAGATAATTTAACTAAATTGCATTTACTACGAGGAATTGATTCGTAAAATAAATATTAACGTATAAAGCTATTAAAGTAGTCTCGATGTAAATGAATCCTTCCTATGTTTTCGTGTTAAAGTAAAAATATTAAGAAACCCTAAGAAGAAGCGCACGGAATTTTTCAAATAAGATAGATATCCTTTGTTTGTTTTCTTTAGTTTTCTTCTTTTTAAAAGAATTTTCTTCGCGTATATGCAATTTTTTATGATTTATTACTATTTATTGAACGGAATATTTAAAATAAAATATTATATACATTAAATAGAAAAATATGCAGCTTCTAATCAATTATACATTTCTTTTAGTCGCGATTACCACTGAAACCAGATGATTCTCGATGGTCGTTTCTGCCAAAAGATGTTAACGTTATGCAAGAGAATTCATGTTCTTCGAGTTCTGACTCTGAGACCGATGAAGCCGCTGCAGCTTCTTCAGCCACGGTGGAACCACCCCCTGGCAAATGGTATCACGTTTCGGATTCCAGGTACATTTTCTTTCGTAATATGTATTACGCAAAATATGCCAAGTCACTAGGTCGAACCGTAATTTGTTAGTATATCAGAGGGTGCGAATATACGCAAAAGAAATATGGAATCATAAACACACAAGTATTGCTTTGCAAAATTAAAGTTAATATATCTTTTTAAACTTTAAATTAATAGTCAAATAAATCCAGACAACCCAAAGAAAAAAGAAGGAAAAAAAAGAAAAAATATATGCGATATAACAGAGACCTAAAATCAGTCATGCAAAGGTAGGAATATTCCGATTTTCAAAGTAACAGTTTAAGATATTTCGAAATAATATAAAGGATTCGAGTATCGAGCAGTGCCATTCTATGTTGATTTTGAATGTTTCATGTATATCTCGTTAGTTCTCATATAAATTGATTTTCAACAATAGATATTCCTACTCGATAAATAGGCAATGCAATTATGGCTGAAATGTTTCTCTTTTCGTTAATATTGTAGTATTGGCGAATGGACCGAGCGATTGTCGACGCATATGATGAGTGTTCGAAAGAGTGCTAAGAGTGGATCGAAAAAATGTTTATATTACATTATCAGTGGCGCGTGAAAAACGAATGACTTTCTAGATCGCGTTTGAAATTTTTGGATGCTTGACAATATGTAGTATGAATGGATATAAAAAGGGACGCTAACAAGAAGAGTGCATGTTCTTCGGGTCACCGATTTTATTGAAACTTTTTAGGTTTGTAAATTTCGTCATTTCGTCATGCAGTCCAAGAATATACATCATTATACCCGCCACTACTCAATAGTTTTTGAGATATTCACAATTAGTTTTAAAGTTTTAAAGTTTTAAAGTTTTAAAGTTTTATTACATCTTCAACTGCAGATTTATTTCCAATGGTTTTAAAATGGCGCTGTGGCCTAACGGCAACACCCGAAAGTTCCTGTGCTGTAGGTCACAGGGGTTCGATTCCTGCCTGTCTCTAGTTGTGATGTGTTTTCTTCAATTTATTTTTTATTTTGTATTCATTTCTCGCCTGTGAAAACAATATTAATAAACAATTGTAAATCAAATTTCTTAATAAAAATATTTATTTTTTACAATTTCTTATGCTAGTATATATTTGTTACGAAATAATAAGAATATAATGCAAGCAAAACAGTTTTCTATAGCAATCTTATTTTCTACAGAAGGAACGCAAAAATATAAATAGTCATTACATACAGGAAATACAAAAAAATATCGAGAAGAAGCTTGAAATTTGAAATGATCCGACTGATATTGAATATTTGAAATAATTTTTGCCTCGGTATAGACGGAGTGTTTGCCAGGATGTAATTAATACTTATATGAGCGATAGGTTTTGTATTTCCTGTATGTAATGATTATTTATATTTTTGTATTTCTATTTTGTAATAAATATATACCAGCATAAGAAATCTTAGAAAATATATCTTTTTATTAAGAAATTTGATTTACAATTACCTATTTACAATGTTTTCAGAGGCGAAAAATTAATACAAAGTAAAAAATAAATTGAAAAAAAAGACTCAACGAGAGACGAGTAATCGAAACCTGGACTTTCAGCATAGCAACATTCGGGTTTCGCCATTAGGCCACAACACTATATAAAAACCATAGAAAATAAATCAGTAGTTACAGAGGTAATAAAACTTTAATCGTAAATATCTTAAAAACTATTGAGTAGTGGCGGGTATAATGGTATATATTCTTGAACTGCATGACGAAATCTACAAACCTACAAAGTTTCAATTAGATCGGTGACCCGAAGGACTTGCACTCTCCTTGTAAGTTGTATTAGCGTATTTTACATAATAATTATCATTGAGAAAAGAGAGAAAGCTCCATCTGCGTCTCATCTACATAGTTTTTCAGTATTGTCAGTTTTTCAACTTACCGCTCAAGCGAAATTTTTGAATTTTTGGTTTAGTTAACTGTGGAGGAGTCTTTGAAGTTCTTAACTCGATTGATGGAAGGAATTAAGAAAATTTTAGAAGTAGATAGTGCGAGTTAAATGATGGTAGATAGAAAAGATTATTATACTTTGATTATAACATATTGATTGTGTCTATAAGGAGTAGTGATAAAAGTTTCACGAAGAGCAAAGAAAAGGAAATGATTCATATCGATTCCGTGTAAAAAGAGGTAGCTGAAACGTCAAGAAGAGCAATTTTAATGAAATATTTGGTAATCATCTCATCCTCGATCGAGTAGTTTATTGGAAGTATGTGCGATCAACAAATTCCGTTACGCCCTTCGTCTAGAATATCGTGTGAGAACCGTATCACATCGATCGGGCCAAACATAAACATCACGGGTCAGGCTTGTGGATAATTGTTGTCGATACCTTTTCGTCTCACTCTCAGTTACGTGATATTCTTGGTCGCATTCGCGTATTCAAATATATTTTCTTAAACATATTAGAAAGATATTTCTAATAATGTCTTTAGAAAGAAAATTTAGCGACGATGATTACAGTGAGAGTAGTTCTAGCATTGCACAGAGTGATTTCATAGATATTTTTGATAGTGACAGTGAAAGTAGTGATATTTTGTCACCTGTACGAAAACGTTGCAAACAACTGGTTATCGAAGATGATATCGACGACGATGTCTACATCGATGATCAACAATCAGAGCATTGGATTTGGAAAGAAGAAAGTAATAAACCAAAAGACTGGAATTATACGGAGACTCCTGGCATAAAAGAGGCAATTTTAAATCAGTTAGGTGCAAACGAGAAAGAATTGGACATTTTTTATATAATATTTGATAATACGTTTTGGGAAAATATCGTAACGGAGACAAATCGATACGCGGAACAAATAATAAACAATAAAAACAGGAGACGAAAAATAGACGAAACTTGGTTTCCCGTTGATTCTGGCGAAATAAAAATATATTTCGCATTATGTATAATAATGGCTCAAGTTAAGAAAGCAACAATTCAAATGAATTGGTCTAAGAGGGCCGTTATCGAAACGCCGATATTCAGAAAAACAATGCCACTGAAAAGATTTCTGCAAATAACTAGATGTTTGCATTTTACGAACAACAATACAGCCGACAATACAGATAAATTACGGAAAATAAAACCCGTGACAAATTTTTTAAATCAGAGATTTAAAGAAGCGTATAGAATGCAAGAAGACATTACTATCGATGAATCGCTAATAAAATATAAAGGACGTGTACCTCATAAGCAATTTCATCCATGGAAAAGGGTGAGATTCGGTATTAAATTTTATAAATTATGCGAGTCAGCATCTGGTTATTGCTATGACTTTAAAATATATATAGGTAATGGCAAAAGAAATTCTAATGACAGTGTATCCGAAAACGTTGTCAAAGAGCTATTACAGTCAGTGTTACATAAAGGACATACTTTGTACTTAAACGATTGGTACTCTTCACCAAAGCTGTTTATAACTTTGCTTAACAATAAAACTAATGCCATTGGGACGGTACGTTTGAACAGAGAGAATATGCCAAAAGATTTTGTTAAAGAAAAATTACAAAGGGGAGAATGTATAATGAGAAGCTGCAATGGAATACTGGCATTAAAATGGAGCGATAAACGAAACGTTTATATTATTTCTACGAAACACGAAACAGCAGAAATGACAGAAGAAGGCAGAAATCAATTTGATCCCACTCTGAAACCAAAATCTGTGATCGAGTACAACAAAGGAATGATTGGAATTGATCGGCAAGACCAAATGCTAGCGTGCTTCCCTGTTATGAGGAAATGTACGAAAGGATACCGAAAAGTTTTCTTTTACGTGTTTGATATTGCGCTGTTTAACTGCTATATTTTGTTCAACAAGTTAAATACTGGAAAACAACCGAGTTACGCTGAATATAGAATCGAAATAGCCGAATCGTTACTGAAAAATATCCCGTTACCGGAATATAATCGACGAGGACGATTATCAACCGAAGATTTACCGCAGAGACTGCACGCGCAACATTTAGGTCATTTTCCCAAACATATAAACTCAACACCATCGAAATCAAATCCATCGAGAGTCTGTAAAGTTTGTTCGAAACATAAAAAACGTAGCGAAACAACGTGGGAGTGCAAAAGATGTAAAGTTGCGTTACATGTACCGATATGCTTCGAAAGATATCATACGATCGAAGATTATTAATTTTCTCTAAACGTTTTCAAAACGTTAATTGGAAATAAGCATTCATTCTTGAATTCAATGATGTTGATCTACTGTTCATTTCAAGATAATAAATCTTTTTTGTTCACTGACAAATCGTTTGTAATTATTTATCAAACATCGTATAAAATTATATCAGTTGTACCTTAGACGTGTATTTACATATCATAATGCGATTAGAACAAGTTGGAATGCACGGCCGCAGCGTGAAATGGCTCAACGCGTAACGCCGAGGTGTTGATTGTGGCACGTGCCGTCGAAATCGTAGGGCAACGTGTCAATTTTTCAACAACGACTCCTTTAGTCCCTCTTTTACAATCTCGTTATAAAAAAAAGATTCTGGATGGAGTAAATTGGGTTCTGCTATTGCTACGTTATCGACAATGGGTTACGAAAAGTTAAAATTCTTTCAAATGTTCAAATGTTAAATAGAATTAAGAGATACTAGTTAGGGATAATTAAGGAACTAATTTGAAATTGAAAATTAATCAACGATACTTTCTTCAAAAGTAATTCGTATATTGTTAGAGATAAGGTGTAATGACATGTCAATTGTTCTGATCTTCGAAAATATTTCAAATGAATTTTTTACAAAACAAAGTCTCGCATGAAGAAATTTTAGACTTATTTTTTCACCCAGAGACAGCTGCTTATAGATTGCGATATCAGCTACGAAAGACTTTGTAGAAATTACTCACTGCATATATTTTTGTATGACAATAAAAACAATCCATCAAAAACTTGTTATCGAGAAAAAGCTTAAAATTTCCATACGGGGTTTAGTGAATACCTGTTAAATTAAAATAAATTTATGTCTAATTTTATTGCTGTTATGTGTGATTATTATACCGATTACTTATTATTATACAGTTAATTTGAGTAAAACTTTAATTTTAATTTAATACAAATATTATTATACGTTTATATTGTAGACATGATTTAACTCTACCTTTTTTCCTTTTAGAGTAACGGAAGTCGACGAAACAACTGTGTTACAGAGGCAAGCGTATCTTCTCTTTTATGAAAGAATTCTTTGAGCACTGTGGCGAGTCGTTGAGTGGAACACGGGTAATTCGAATTTTAAAATAGCGAATCATTAATTAAATAAAAAGTAACGGAAGAAGTCTTGAAAAACTATAAATCTATAATTATTTAGGCTAATGAGGAAAAAATTCGAATTTGTTTCTGGAGTTTGCAATTTTATCACAAAACATTATAACTGCCGGATATATTCATTATAGGTATCGAATGAAAATTTTTACCAAAATCATTTTTTATCTTGGCTTATTATATCGAAGGAGCATAATGTAGTTTTTATTTTTGAATTAGCTCAAAATTTTATTTTCCTCGCTATTTAGAATATACATGATTGCAGAACATTTATTTCATTTGGTTTACTTGGTACTGATGGTTAACCAAGATTATAAAAATTTAGTAGCACCAATTTATCAGAAAAGTTCCAGAATGTTAAAATTTTAATAAACTATCGGAAGTAGCTTTAGTAAGAATTGAATTTATTTAAAATAGATAAATGGTAAAATTCATTCAGAATTAATATTTTAATAATTAAACAAATAAATAAATAAATGAATGAATGAATGAATAAACGATATAGAGAATTCACTTTGACAAAATTGTTTTAGATACTATTATAACGAATGAAAGAAAAGGTCTGAATTTTATAACTATATTATAAAGTTTCCGTTAGTTTTCGTTTTTAGTTTACGAAACGATTCATATTACTTTATATTTCAGCGAATCATAAAATTGATTGAAGTATATTTAAATACATGTGCAAAATAAAATGGACTAATCGTTAAATTTGCACATATTTTATATAATTAATGTATAATACCTTACCATTACTACTTATTTTTTTTTAGAGAAACAAAATTTTATCCAGTTTGATGTTAAAGCTATGTTATAATGATTTATTTTAAGTGTAGTCAAATTCTAGATTGAAGTTTAATTGTTCAAAATCATGTATTTATGTTTTAATTGCATTTATAATAATAAATTACAATTATCTATAATTATTTCAAATTTGTTATGCACTTATTTTATTAATAATTTCTATCTATGTGATTATATTTATGTATGAGTCGATAGTGTTCAAAATTTAAAATATGATCATTAGATAAGGAAAATCGTTCTTTTTATTGCAAGCCATAAGTAGTATTAAGTGAAATTAATGCTTATTATTAAGATACATTACAAAATGTTGTATATCTGTTGTACACTATAAAATGTTGTATATCTGTATTTAAATTCAGTAAAGTCGCTCCTTTCACTTTCTTTTAACGAATTTACATAAACAGTTCCAAATCGTCTTGATCAAGCGTTAGCGAATTCTTAAATTAATTTCCTCTTCGATGAAAATTTGAATTTCTGTATTTGATATTTGTAATTAAATTCTCATTAAAATGTAATCTTTGATCAGTTAAATTTTTTCCAATTAAAATCGGCTTAAACACGATTTTATTTAACTATTAATATCGTTGAAAAATAAGTAACAAGGAAAAGTAATTTGAAGTAACACGCAATTAAATATAGCTCGAGTGAGTTATTTTTGTTGTAAGAAGATATAATCAAAAATATATAAATTTTAGTTTTCATTAGTTACTGTAATAATACGTAATATACTGGTATATCATGCACGTGTCTTACTTGTTCTTATTAATGGTAACAGGGTCACTTTCTTTCTCCATGAAATTTAACCAACTCTTTTAGCTAACTCATTATGATGCGTACAATTTATGTGCAAAGTAGGAAGTTTCAGCACAGAGCAATCTAAAATGTATAAAATAGACAATTAGCCTTGTAAGAGACTCAACAAGAAGAAATACATTGTAACATGACAAATGTATTTATGGAAATATCAAAAATATTTTAAAAGAAAAAAAGAAAAATATTTTATTTCAGTAGGTATTTCAGTAGGTATTGCAGTAGGTATAGCTCGAAGTTCCATTTTCGGAATACTCTAATATCCGAATATTCTATTATTCGAACAGCGTTCTGTGAGAATATTTACAAACTGTATACGTACACATAATTTCCTATGTTTGACCGAACGTATCTTAAACAGAACAACTTATTATGAGGTTAACAGCGTACACTATTATAATGGTACAAAACGAAAACGTATAATTTTGCATATCGAAACTATGAAATAATTAAAGCCCGTTAATGCGATTGAATTCGAAGCACTCGAAAGAGGACTTGGCTGAGGCACAGACAGAATGTAATTCAATACGATTATTTATATTCAAATATTTATGTGACTTTGCAACCAAACGGATATGGGATCCATAACTATGTAAATAAACTGTTAATTTTGTTTTCTTTATGCAAAGAATTTAAGTCCTCTTTTCAAATCTATGAAGCCTTTCTTTGTTAAAAATATGTTTCTGTTTGAAGAAATGAAATTCAATGTAAAAAAGTGTTTATTCTATTATCCAAATAATTTTGTCCCCCTATTATTTTAAATACTCGAGATTTCGCTGTATTTGAGACTTTAAGGTTCTATGTACCCAGAGTTCAATATGATGCTCGCTTTAGAGATTTATTGTTCATCCAAAGAAAATTATCATAAGAAAGTTCATATTATCGATGAACTTTAAGAGTCCTATTAAACATATGAATATCTATATAGATTTTTAAGAAGTTTGAGTGTCTTATATATTGGAAGATGCGTGGAAAATAGTTGTTTAAACGTTTTTTCTCAATAATCCAATAATAAATAGGAAGTAATCTTAGGAGTAAAGGTCTAGATATCACATGTATGATGTGCATTAGGGACCTATAGATTAAGAACTAATAAGACATTCTGTTGTTTTAAGATTTAACATGTATGAATATAACTCGTATAACTTGTAACAGATGTAAGATCTCGTAACATGGTGTAAGAACAAAAATTAACCAAGATTAGAAATAAGATTAGCTAAGAATAGAATAAGATATTATCCGTTGAACATAGAGAATGACATGTTCTAAGAACAATCTTATAACATCAAACAAAATTCAAACGTTACAAAAAGGCAAGGTACGTAGATGACGTAGTTACATCTATCATTTCGATCATTCTTGAACTACACTCTGTTAATATTTATATCAAGAATTTGTACCATAATTTGTTTTAATTATCATAATAAATGTTTCATACCGTTAAATACAATGAAATCGTTATTGGACGATCTACATTTGAATATTATCCAAATAGCAGATACATTTCCCTGTTTTTACTATCAAGACAGTTTTTATTATCAACACAAAAACGTAGTTCATATATTTATTATTATTATTATTATTGTAGTAAGAAACTGAAGGGGAATACATGGTTTAGCATAATAAATGTTAAATTGGAAAGAGTATGGTGGAAACTTTTTCGTTTCGTGAACGAAGTTAACGAAGCTGACAAGATCCATGAAGAGGAAACAATATTACTGTTGTAATAATCGACGATGAAATTCGATTTCTTCTACGAACTATTTATGTTATCAGATGATGAATTTAGATAATTCGAGAAATAAAAAGAATGTAATTTAGTACAAATTCTTTACATGAAGAAGTTTATGCGATTTAACAGTAAAAAATATATAGGACCCATAAATAATTAAAAAAGATATTACATTAACATTATTATTTAATATATTTTACATTTTGCAATTGTTATTATATTATTGTTGTTATAATTTTTTGTAATATCGAGTAAGGATAATAAAGAAATACGAGAGTTCTACTAGTCGAAAATTCTCTTATTCGAATAGTCATATCGTCCTATTAATTTAGATATTACAAGTTTCAATGTGACAGTTAATTGTTACTTGTTAAATAGACGACTCCGACAATGAAAATCTTAGTTTACTTCTTAATCAAATATTCGAGTGAAAGCTATTATATTTTACTGATTAAGTAGTTAAAAAAATTCAAATACGTAATTATATTTGAAAAGACATCTTAATATCACTATGAGGAGGCCTGGGAATTTATCACAGAAAATATATCCAAATTTTGTTCAGTATTAAAAGCCGAAATTCAAAGAATTAACTCTATTCAAGATACTCTTCTCAGGTACAAGCATTTGGTTTGGAATCTATTTACAGAAACCAGTAATATACTGAAAAAGAAGGAATATGGGAATCCTATGACTGAATACTATGATACAATTGCAATGATAACAAATTTCTGGCAAATATAAAAATAATTTAGGAAAAAATTATTTCACAATATCAAGTTGTGATTTTGATAACGATGATGATTCCATTAGTAAGGACAAGAACCAAAAGATTACGATGATTTTAATGATAGTAAGGAAAAATAGGATCAAGATATATGTTATTATTATACATCATTATAATGATATTACTTTAAACATTATGAAAATATTAGAAATAATAAAGCACGTTTAAAAAAATATCTTTTTTTTAATTTTAATTTTAATTATAATTATAATTAAAATAAAATATTTATTGCACATGCGAAAAGAAAGTAAAGAATCTATTAAGACCATTTGAAGAGTTTTATCACCATCAAAAATAATTTGCATATAATTCGTATTTGTATTGTAAAAAATGGTTATTATTTTATGACCATCTGCATAATTTGTTAATCATTCACATGATTGGCAAATCTTTTATATTTAACTTGGAACTTTATCTTGGAATTTTCTTTTGACTCTTACAGCTTTATGAATTATAAAATAAAATCAATAAGTAACTGTATTTTGGGGGATTGATTTTATCTTTTTCGACTATATTTGAGCATCGATAAAATTTGTTTTGAACGATTAAAATGTATTTTTACTAACAGGACACGAGAAATTTTTACTAAAGGAATAAAGTTAGGAAGACTTTAATCACTGAAAGACGCACCATTTCATATTACTGTCTTAAATTTTGCGTTTATAAACTTTCATGAAATATTGATTGCAGGCTTTCGTATATCACCCTTTAAAGTAAATATACAAGTTTTCTTTTTATTATGATGTCCATTGATATTTGAATAAAAATAGAGAAATCTTAAAACGGTGATATTTGGCTCCATATTTTAACTTGAAAATTAATAGTTTGCGTTAGTGCTGGTATTAATGCATACATTGGTATTAATAGTAA